TTTTTTTTTTTTTTTTTTTTTTTTTTTTTTTTTGGTATCAGGGCTCGAACTTGGAACCTTTCACTTGCCAGGCAGGCAGCAGAACCACTGAACTAAATCCCTGGTACCTAAATTTATTTTTAAATGGAGAGTCAGTGTTCTGATTGGAGCTTTGTAAATTTAAGTAAAGGCTGTGCTTCATAGGATGGTGACAAGGAAGGCATGGTGGGCATAGTGGTTGTCACTTGACAATGGAAGAAAGATTTATCAGCTTTTTTTTTTTGGCAGTGCTGGGGATTGAACCCAGGTCCTTGAGCATACTAGACAGGTATTCTACTACTCAGCCTCCCTAGCACTGAAAAACAAGCCGCCGTTGCAGGGGATAGTGAGACAAGTGGGTAGAAGGTAGAGGGGAAGTGCATCCCAGGAAGCCTTCATCACTGGCTCAGTCCAGTAGTCTGGCCAACTGCGCAGCAAAGGGATGGCCTAGCAGAGTCATGTGGCTGTCGCTCCTGCCCAGGCTTGGGCCGCTTGCCTCTGAGATCGCTCTGTGATTCTTTGATCAGGGCTTCAGATCAGGGGGTGAAGCACAAAGAAGAAGATAGGCCTTCAAATAAAAGCTAGTGCTCCTGCCTCCAAAGTCCATGTGTTAGACGCATGGTCCGCACTGGAGCGCCCCATGATCGCGCTTCTCATCCACTCCACAAAAGCAAAGCTACTGATTTTGGTGAATGGCAGGACAAAAAAAATAATAATTAAAACATGGTCTTTGTGGCAGTTGGAAAACATTCTGGTATTTCTCTGATTAATGCTCCATTGGTTTATTTTTTTCCCATATCTTTTTTCCTAGTCATACAGTTTATAAATCTTAAATTCAAATATATTTAGTTAAAATGGCTTTGTTGTACTTTTTTGGTTTGGGTACTGGGGATCGAACTCAGGACCTTGTGCTTGCGATGCAGGCATGGTGCCACTGAGCTAAATCCCTTGGGCCTGGCATAGCTGTTAGGAAATTGCTGTGTCCTTTTCTTTCTTTCTTTCTTTTTTTTTTTTTTGGCTTATGAGGAAAAGTTTATTTAGCTCCAGAACAATTTGAGGAGTCAAGGGCCTGACACACTGGTTCAGTTTTGATGAGGGCGGAGTCACATCCTGGGGATGACAACAGCAAGATGTCATGTCAGAGGAAGCAGTCACATTTCAAATGAGAAGCAAAGAGAAACTGGGTACCCACAGTTCCTTCTGAGGACACACCTCAGTGACCTAAGGACCTCCCACCAGACCTGACCTCTTTTTTGGGGGGGCGGTTATCTGGGTTTGAACTCAGGACCTTGTGCTTTCCAGGCAGGCACAGCCGTGTCCTTTTCTAAACAGTATCCGTTCTCCTCCTGACCTGTTCTGTACCATGTAGTAGGCGTGTGTCACGTGTGGCCTTAAAACCGTTGGGGCACCCAAGGTTGCTGAGGTCGGGGAGCCTTCCTCCTCCCTGTGACGCCCCGGTCCTTCTGTCTACTGTAACCGTGTGGACACCACAGTTCGTTGTCAGTATCTATCTGTAAAGTTTACTTTTTGGGTTTTAAGTATCCTTACACTCGCATGCCATAGTCTAACCCTCTTCCTCCCTCTCCATACTCCCTTGTAAACGGCACTGAAAATCCTTACTTTGAAGATTGCTATTTAATCTGATTTTATAGACATTCCTTGGCTTTTCTCAATGTACAACTGTCAGGATTATGGAAGAGTGATTCACTTGTAAAATTTTAGATTTTACTGATTAAAATGAAAACTTCTAAAATAACATTCTGAAAAGTTTAGTAAACCCTTTTCATTCCTTTTCTATCACTGTTTCAACATCGAATCTCACAACTAAGTCAATAGTACTGTTTAATGGTTTTTAGACACAAGTTATCCACAGAAAATGTGGCAGATGATTTACTCAGTTATAGATTTCATGCCTTTTGCTACCTATTATTATTTTAAAATGTGTGTGATACCTGTGATACTATGAATATAACTAAGACATACTGTATTTAATCTCCTAGACATATCTTATTAGATAGATACACCAGTAGTTACATTTATAAATGCGTATGAGACAACTTACTGATATTAAATAGGCGTTGTTTTATACCATTCTTTCAGGTATGCACGATTTTCTCCAGCTTGTTCTCCCTTCCTCAGCCTGATGAATTTTTTTTTTTTTTTGGAAGTATGACATTGCTTTGTTGTAAACTCTGTTCCTACTTCTCTCGTTGGAAGTTTTGTCTTCTCTTCATCTGCTGTTAGATATAGTTACTTTGGAATGCTGAACTTGAAATGTAATGAAAAGGGACACCAGAATTTGTCATCAGGGAGAATATCTTTTGTGTTGAACAGTTCTATCTGATCTTAACAATTCATTCCAGTCTGTTTATCAAACTTCTTCAGCACAGAGAGAGAGGAGGTTGAACTGGTTGGTGTGTTGGGCTGGCTGAGCAGGTCTTAGCCTAAACTAGTGGTGGGGGCCTGTGCATGGCAGCGTGTGATGCAGCTGGCTGTTTGTTGTCACTGAAGCTCTGTGAGGTTTGCCGTCATGAACCTATCTGGAAGGTTATATGGATCCAGCTTCCAAGGAAGTTTCCGCGCGGTTCCCTCCTGTTTGCTATGTACCTGTGACAGGTGTTCAGCCTAGTAGCAGTGTAAGTGGATTTTGCATATAAAATTCAAAGCAGGTGCCTCACTATATTTAACTAAAAGAATACCCACAAATTGCATATTTAGTAGGAAAAATCAAGGTACATTAATACCAAACTTTATTATGTAAAACTGTTGAATATTAACATAGAATACACCTTGCATGCTAATCCAGGACTTATGGGATTCTGGCATCTTGCACTGTGCACTTTTGTTTCGTTGGTACTTAAATTAATTTTAATTACTGGTGGTCTGTTGGGTACCATTTTGGGGGAAAAAAAGAAGTTGCTCTTAGTGTAACAGAAGCGATAGCCAGAGAAATTGTATAAATGGACACATTAAAAATTACTATTTCATTTTTAAAGGAATTGTATTATTTTGAAATTTGAAGGCAAGACACTTTCTGCCTTGGGCACTATACATTTTAATTCATTCATATCTTTAGAGCCAAGTGTCCAAGTAACAATTCGGGAGATAGTATAGAAAACGATTTTAAATAATTTTCTTTTCTTTTTTTTGGTACCAGGGATCGAACTCAGGCCTCTTGCGCTTGAGAGGCAGTTGCCAGAACCACTGAGCTAAATCCCCAGCCCCATTAAATAATTTTCAATGTTATCTTTTTTAACCTAAAGTGATTTATTCTTCATGATGGACATTTGCTTTTTATAGAATGATATTTTTTTTCTTTGAAATTTACATGTGAAGAGAGATTATAATAAACATTTTAAATCTTAGGTTGCTTGTTTAAATTTAATGGCTTAAGCAAGCAGAACTCTTGGAGAGAACACATGTATTTCACTGATATGTGCTGTCCAGAAAAATTATTTAATTTTCAACAATATGTTGCATTCTCATATTATAGAAATTCTGTAATTTATTTTTAATTTTTTACCTTGTTGACTATTAGTGTGAACACCCAAATGAATACCACCTGACTCATTTATATATTGTTTTAAAATGTCCATTTGCAAATATTCATAGAACATTTAATTTTTTTTTTTTGGTACTGGGGATCAAACTCAGGCCCTTGCTCTTGTGAGGCAGGCAGCAGAACCACTGAGTGAAATCCCCAGTCCAGAACACTTAAATTTTTGATGCAAGTTGCTAAATTGTATATAAAGGCAAATGTGTATATTTAATAGGTGAGAATTATTATTTTATTACTGGAATTTATTTCCAAGTCAAATTTGTTTTGTAGGTATTTCACTTGGAAAATTTTGTTTTATCTCAAAAATAGGGAATAAACCTCTCTTGTGATGTGACCACCTCAAAGCCCCCAGTGTTAACATAACATAGGGGGATCTTGAAATTGTTTGATTACGTTTGTTTTTCACTTTTGTTTGGATCAAACAAACATTAAGTTGGAAGCCGTTGTATTTTCGAAGAGTGTGCGGTTTGCCCTTGGGTCACCAGGGCCGCGTGTGTGTGCCTCTGCCTTCCTGTTGGTGAGATTTGTCGGGGTCGGACCGCTTTCCTCGTGGCGCTGCGATCAGTCTCCTGTCTGTCTCATTCTCGGCGGCCACAGTTTCGCAGAGCAAAACGTGTTCAGAGATGGAAGATGTGTGAGTTCTGTGTAGAACGGATGTGTCAGTAGCATCCATCTGCCGACTGCACATTGTTTATGGTACTGGATAGTGAAGTGGACGGTAGGGATAAAAGCATTAATCAGTACAAATCAAGGAGAAGAAGGAAATTGTGAACTTCTAATTTTAATATAAAAATTGTTTCCAAATGAGTATTTTCTTGCTGACTTTGTGTTAATGTTATTGTCTATGATTTGTAAGTTCATACTGATATGAGATATACATTTTTTCAACATTAATGTAGCAGTTCCTGTCATCTATTTTTATAATTTGGTTTTGAAAATGTATCATCTTAGAAATTATATTTTAAGTGCAAATAAACCATCCCAATTTGAAAGTCAACATGTTTTATATTTCATTCCCGTCAATGTGCAGAATACATTGCATTGTTAAATACCTGTTAAAATTGCCAAAATTGTTTTCAGGTTTCTGTGTTTTCATATGGCTACAACCAGTTTACCTACAACTCTAGCTGAATTGTTATGTAAAAAATGACGTTTGGTGGAATCACAGTCTACTCCATTTGGTCTACATGTAACACCTGTGCACAATACCTGTTCTGCTGACTTTTGTCATGTGGTATAAACTTGAATTTTTGTTTGTTGCTAAGACTTCCTGCCTCAACTTAGCAGAAGGTAATGAAAGGTTTTCTTTGTGTTATGTTCTTGGCTGA